ATATATATATATATATATATATATATATATATACGACATAAAAGAATTGCGTAACTTCCAATTTTGTGATGTTTTCATAATTTTTATGCAATACACAGTTATCTCTAAACAGAAAATTTTTATTGGCTGCATGATATATATATATAGACTTGTTATTGTTTTAAATAACATACTTATTGTATTCTTATGGAAATTAACTTAAATAACTTATAACATTGTATCAAATTTTACGTACTGCAGTTCAATGGTGTACGATTGTTGAAGTGTGTTTGTCTGATGATGGCCACTTGTGGCCGAATCATGTAGCAGAACTATACTGAGCATTGTCCTTGAAGTTCTATATTTGCTGTGTTGTGACGGTCAAATAAAGAGGTTGTAGATATGTATACAGTTACGTGTTTTGGTGTGATAGCGAGAATGAAACAGGCCATTCAGAACGGAGACGCTTGTTTGACGATATAAGTAAAATTGATCTTGGAGAAATGGAATTGACCTGTTACGGACTGGATGCATCCGGGTCTTTTGAACCTGATAATGGGACATCATCTCCATAAAATTTTGGGTAATTCTTGAATTTCTATCAAACTCTTGCCTTCGCAAGGAGGAATCGGTTCCATGGAGTTCGATAGGGGCGGCCCGCGTATAGGCACTGCGGAACTGCATCACCCCCAATTTCCACTTGATATTATCGATAACATTTATATAATGAGTCCTTTTTCCTTTAATTTTGTCTTTATACTTGTACAATACAATATATAATCCTTAAGCTTAATGTCAGTAGCCAAATCTTTGTATGGAACTGTGAGTTTCACAGTTCCAGTGGCGAGGTGTTCGTTGACTGTGCGCATGCGCACATAGGAAGCTACACGCGAGGCTGCAAGGAGGAGGGAGCACTACAGGAACGACAGTGCCGACCGGTGCCGACCCTGGCGTGCTGATGGAAGGTAGTTTTTTTTACTCCGCGTGTGTTGTGCTTAAAAAATATGAGTTAATTGTAGAATTAGATTATTATCCTGCTTCTAGCTATTCTATTTGATTGATTTTTTTCGGTTCTTTTATTTAACAGAAAGCTTTAACCATGGCCTTGCATCCCCGAGAAATAAGTTATGTGACTATAAGTGAACTTCAACAGATTAAGTTTTCACAACTGTCTCTCCATGAGAAAGTTGCAGTTAAGAAAAGAGGTCGTTTAACACCTGATATTCTAACATCTCAGCCAGGCGTAAGCAAGAACAAGAAATATATTCGTAGTTTTAATCTGAATGGTACAAACGGAAAAGTTGGCTTTGCGGCTGCGAAGTAAAAAATGCACTGTTTTGCTTCCCGTGTTTGCTGTTTGGGGTGATATAACGTGGACAAAAGATGGTTTTAGAAATATAAACAAAATGAGAGAAAAAACTGAACAGCATGAGAAGTGAAAGAAGCACGCTGATAATGCAGTTTCACTCTCACTTTTAGGAACCGTAAGTATTAAGGAGAAACTCAGTGAGGCATACAGACTTTCAATCAATGAGCATAATATAAAGGTTAAAAAGAATGGATTTCATTTTTAAACGAATAGATTAAGCTTGAACTGTAACAATTTAGGTTAAAGTAAGTAAAAAATATTTGATTTTGTTCTTTTAGGATTTTATCAAGTTTCTGAATAAATTTTCTTTTTATACATGTTTGTTTCCTTTTATACAATTTTAAAACAAAGGTTACAAATTTTCTGGAGCAGCACCCCCACTAATTTTAGCTACGAGCCGCCACTGGAGTTCGATAAAAGTAACCAGTGCCGGCGACCAAAATTAGGAGTTAACTGACTACAGTAGCAGTAACTGAACCCATTGAAGTAAGCATGTTTTTGGAAAGTCAGTTTTATTCGCACGGTACTACAGAAAATTGCATCGAAAATATGTCTTTCCTGCTATGCAGCCGTTCTCTATATGTTGGCGACAAGATTAAATGAAATAAACGGCTAGACAATCTGTTCTGAAGTCGTAATTGCTACCGTTTTATGTTACCAAATTAATTACATCAGCAAAGTGAACTCAATAAAGTACCTAGCCGAACTAATTACGCCTGTTATTAAAACTTAAATAATTGAATTAAAATAGCAGAACTAAGAGAACTTCGGAAATAAGGTAGTAAGTGTTATAGTGTATTTCCTAGCCACACAACAATATTCAACATGTCAATAAATACAATATAATGAAGTTTGAAGCCGTATTATAAATTTTGCTATCTCTGACTTAATACTAAGACAATTCAATGAAATTCACACCCTCAAATTCTCTGTCTCTATTAGTTTCATTATACCTCACATCCACGCATTAGTGGCAAGTATTTTCTCATCTGGATTTTTTTAGTAATTAAAAATATCTCTTTCTTAAGAAAAATATTTGAAGGGTATGTAGAAGGATGGACAAAAGTGAATTACGTTATATCGTTTGAGAGACAGATAAATTAAATATAAGTTATTCAGTTCAGTTTGATGAAAGTAAATGAACATAGAATATATATATATACGACTATATAACGGAGACTTTCAAATTCAGAGGCTACATACCATCTGCTGTTTCACCAAATTCATTCATTTCCTCTTCACTTCGGTCCTCAGATCCCTGCTCGGAGTCCAAGCTGCCCTTCTCCTTAAGCTGTATCAACAGTTGCATGAAATCATTGCGCTTCACGTTATTCTTTTCGCGATATTCAACTGTTTCCTGCACCATTTTCAGGAAATATTTAGAAACGTCCGTATCAACAGTAGACACTTTAAGCATGTCTAATACAACTGGTGCAATGCTTGACAAAATTCCAATTATTATCATTTTGACTGTTTGGTCGAAAGCTTTTCTTCCCCACTGTCTGAATTCCGCGTCTTCGTTCTTCAGGCAGTTGCACTCGATACCGAAAGCACAGGACGAAATTACGTCCGTGCTGAACCTAGCTAGAATGTCCTTAACTTCAATAACCTCCCCCCTTCCCGCAATATTTTCCAAGCAAAGTTTAAGTTCATCTCCACATTCCACAAGTCTCTGGAACATCATTTTCATCTTCCCGGATGTGAAAGTCGGGGTCAGCTTGATCCTAAGGTTTCTCCATCTCTTTCCATTTAATGAAAATAAATGCCCCGACAGAGGTTCTATTTCTTCATTCATATAGACTCCCCGATCATGGAAAGTAGAAAAATCTTTAACTAGAACATCCTTTATTAAATCGGGGTCTAGGAAAAGTAATCGCGGTGCGTTGAATAAGTATATTCCTCCGTATCTGTGCCCTTCAAGCCTTGTGTAAATATCTCTGCAAAAATATCCAAATTCTTTCCGCATTAAAGCCGTCTCCTTGAAATTTCCAAATGGGAAACACGGTTCGACGTACGGTACATTAAGTTTCTTCCAGTATGTGAATGACCACTTGAAATAGGAGTAAACCACTAAGAGGGCACAAGCTACCAGCACCCCCACATCCAGAAGAAGTGACTCGAACAGGAACCCCATACTTGTCAGCAAGACGCTGATGAACGCATAAAGGTCCGGCCTGTTGAAAAAATCATTACAATTCAGATTAGAACAGTCGATTGTAAAATACATCGAAACAAACCTGAGATATATAAAACTGTATATGAAAACAGTGAGCACATATCGTGGTCGTAATATATCAGTAAATCCGGATGTTATACTATATGAACATACTTGGCAAACATCGAAAGAAAATTATATACTACTGAGTGCATGGACTATAAGCCAGTGGTTCTCAACTTTTGTCAGACCGAGGCCCAGTAAAATCTTCTTTCTACGAGTGTAAGACGAGGGTCCATTAAAATGATGACAGCGCCCGGCGGTTGAGAAACACTGCCATAAGTAATGTAGAGAAATTAAGTTTCAGTCTATGCTGGTTCACCGCAGCTGCTACTTCATATGAGATTTAAATGTGAAGGTAAGAATGTAATCAGAATATAGTAAAACAACACAGGATATAAACCTCGATATCTACATGTTTTATTTCATATACTATTATATTAAATATATATTTAACGAAGAGAAGGGTGAAGGAAATGTGCCTAAAAGGCACTTGTTTTTGACATTTTCCATTTTTGTTCTACCTTCCGATCTTCTAAAATACTAAATTATTTTCCTTTCCCAGAAAACGTTCACGTTGTTACCAGTTCCCGACAAGAAATTTCACTACTGTCGTACTTATCCTTTAAACTAGCTGAATATGCAGTCATACTCTCGATTAAATAATACCGGAATTGCAAAACGAAAATAATACAAAATTGCATTAAAACATATACATATCAAATTATTATAGATATATATTTTACGTGTATTAGAGACTACAGATTCGTTTCGACTGATTGTTGGATTTATCGAACACTTATAAGCACAACTCGTAACTTCTAGTAGTTATAGCGCCATCGCTGATGTCCTCACTTTACAAATCACTTAAGCACACGCCAAGTCTTATCAGTGTTCTTTCACTAGCTTTTGCTGGTAACTGATCCGAATAATGTCCTCTGCTAACGTCCTTACAGGATGGTGAATGCATTATCTTCTGCTAAGATCCTTACATGCTGGAGGGTATCCCAAATCTGACTAAGCTCGAAGTCAAAGCCAGAGCTACTTTACGACTGGCAGTTTACCACCAATCAGTTCGTTTTAGAGTCAAACTCCTTCAGATCCACGACCAGAGGTTCATTTTTTTTTCATCTGAACCCTTGCTGTAATAATCCTTAGTGACAACCACTCTGACGAGAAGATGGGTTTGATTCTTAGGAATATGTGTAACCGAACCATTGAAATCCTTCCCCCCCTCTTTTTTTTTTTTTGTTCAGTAGTTATAAAGTAGAATTGTAAGAATTACTAAGAAAGAGGAAGACACAGTCAGAACAAACAGATAGACCGAACTTGTGTGGACAAAGACATCTGTTAGTTCTTGCTTCCAGGCCTTTGGTGTTGTTTCGAAAAGGGCAGAAATGATACTTCATGGAACCCCCACTGAGTTCTTTAGAAATTGAGAAGTTGACTTAGAACGACGAGCCTCTTTGAGAATTTGAGACGTGACAGTCATAAGTCAACAGTGGGGGGGCCAGGGGTTCATTAGCGACCCTCATAAGTTACATTTTTGTCAGTTTTGCCGTTTGGAATTTTAGGCCGAAACTGCTTCTAAAACAATCGGTCATTGGCCAGAACCAAAATTAAGCCAACTCCTCTTATTTGAATCCACCTATCCGGGAATTTTGGAGGAGAAGAGAGGAGGCGGATACAATTAAGTTAGGACCTCTGGCTCGGCAGAGAGTCCAGTTTAAGATTAAAGAGTTTGCTAAAAACCTTTGAACTTGGCGGGGGTAAAACCCGCGAATACTTGCGCGTTAAACTAAGTGATTTGAGCAAGTGCAGCACCGGCGGCTTGGAAGCCGAGACTAAGCCTTATAGTGTAGATTTTTGACTCCGAGTGACTGTGTGAAACAATAAAGTGTTCCAGTGGCAAAGTGCATTGCGTTGGTCAGAAGTGCTTCACCCTCCTTGTCCGAGCCTGACCCTTAGCCGACCTGAGGAGAGAACTCATCGCCAGCAGCTAACCAAACCCATCGCCAGCTTCCACCCCACTCACGCCTTCCCTCCTTTAAATTGAATCGCAAACAGCACCTAGCTGTTTGCTGGCGCCCAAAATATCAGGTTCTATGTTGAAACTCCAAACCCGTAATCAGCAACGGAAGGAGGAAGCGGTGGAGCCGGAAGAAGCGGTGGAGCCTGGTCAAGCCGGAACCAGCCACGACCTAACAACTTCAACGGAGGCAGCACCAGGTAGGGCAGTCAAAGTGACCAGTGGCAACCACCTTGTGGGCAAGAAGCCTAAAGAGAGGGTGGGCGGTTACATATGTTTGGTCTTTCGTTAAGTGTACATGTATCATGTTACTGAAAATCCTTCCTTATGCACTACACGCAGGTCCTCTGTCAGCACAGGCTTTACAGATCAGATGTAGTTCATGTCTATCTTACATATCTAATGCTATAACGGCAGCTTAGTCACTTGGAACGGTCGGATGCTTGACCACCGCCAAGTTTAAGCCTCTTATATGTCCTGTGTGAGGCTTCACTTTGCCCTGTACCGCGAACATGTTCATCTTCATGATTTCGTGTGACTTCTTCTTGCTGTCTGCACAATTTTGTTATATAATCGTACACATAAGGAAAGTTGAAAGCTGTGTGAAAATGGAGGACCGGTGTGCACCTCAGAAAATTTCCAATGTAACGCAGAACCTTGTTTTGCATGCGCTGCATTTAAAAGGTACGTGTCTGCCGCTATTTCGCAGGAGGGACAAGCGTAAGTTATTACTGGCATTCTAAGTGCCTTATGGAGGGGTAGTATAATTTTGGCGCTTATGTTATGATGCCAGGAGGGGTGCGGTATATATCCCTATAGAAGTCCCTTCCCGAATAAATAAAACACCTTTCTCTTTTCTAATCAAACAACAACAAAAAACATTTATTTACATTAGCAAAAGAATGACATAGCTGATCTGACTCGATCTGGTAGGACTGTAGTTACCTCTCCTGTCTATAAAAGTTATCAAGGCTGGATGTGACCAAAACAGATCTCTACTTACAAAATGTTCAAAAATACGTAATTTATAATTAAAAGTAATACCATCAATCTTACGAGGGAAGGATATAGTCGTTATATTACGGAAATAAATTTCCTGTGATTATAGAAACGCAATCTCTGCACAAGTTCACATTACAATGTTGATGATGTAATAACCCATAGTAATAATAAAGAACATGATCGTAAAGCAATAACATAATTTATCTACATATACATAACTTCAGACGATACGTTTAAATCATTCGGTTTATATTTTAATGTGACGGTTTTCAGACATAAATTGTTTCCATGACCAAAATGGAAATGGGGAGGGGGTGGGGTTGGAGATAATGTTAAGAGCTAAGATTTGAAGCATTGCAATATTTTACTGAATTTTCATCAACAAAACAGCTTAAGACTCCAGGCATTTTGATGTTTCCATCAACAGTGCGCTGCGACTGGATGTAGACGTGTGAAGTAACATTCAGGAATGCACAAGGACAACAGTGTACAACTCTCATAACTGTCGCTTCTGTTGCAGTTCTGCTTATTACAATTATTTTCATTAGTTGAGCAGTAATCTATAGAAAAATGAACTTACCTACACGCACAAGAATTTCTCCTGTGGTATACCTGAGATCCACGAATCTGCTGTCCTGAACGTCCTGAATTTCACACTTCAAACACGCTTTCTGATGGACCAACAGACATGTGATTACAGTTTCCCGAGCTGAAAATTATGACGTCAGTTCTCGCCATATGATTGGTTGTTGGGTAATGCTGCCTTCAGGCGGCAACGCCAGTTTCGTCGCGTCTGAATTGGTGACCTTCAAACTGATACGAAGTCATTATCGCCCAAGTAAGCATTATACAGCTTCTCTCGTTAATATGACACTTTCTAAGGAATAATTGCTAAAGGAAAGTGCATTTATGCGTCGGAGCGAAGGCTTTATCAAGAAGTGAAATTTATCAGTTGATACCCTTAATCAGCACATTCTTCTCGTAAACATATTCTCGAATTACACAGCAACAAGCGTAAAATACAGGATCAGACTAAATGCAGTGCCAGATTCAGTAATTAACCTTCTCAATATCAAGCCAAACGTAAAATGAAATCATGAAGAAAGAAAATAAAGCTACATTTCTCACCGAAAAATCCCGTACAGTTTGCGTATTAGTTTTCAAGCTTGATCTTTAATATACAGCGTGTTTCACGACTTTAGGACACAACTGCAGGAGGTGATTTTCTAGGTCTTTGTGATCAAAAAAGTTAATATAAACATGTGTCCGATTTTGGATGGTTCCGGAGTTATGTCCGTTTTAAACTCAGAATAGAAGGTAACGATTACTGACAATAAACGGAACAAAATAATAAACCAACTTAATACATGATACATTTAAAGTATGAATGTAAAGTTAACTTCGTGAAATTACCTTTAATTTGAATTGATTGGTGCTTAAAGCTGATTTTCGAAAATGTCACCGCCGGCCGCAACACAGGCTGCCGCTCGGTTGTGAACCGCGCCGGACATACCAACCCACCCCGCTCTCATGTGTCGAGATAACGAGAACGCTCTGTCTGTAGCTGGCTAAAAATAGCGACCTGCCAGCTGACGGACGCCGTTCACACGAGGGAGTGTAAGGAATGAAAAAACGGTCATAACTCCGTAACCGTCCAAAATCGGACACATGTTTATATGAAATTTTTTGATCACAAAGACCTAGAAAATCACCTCCTGCAGTTATGCCCTAAAGTCGTGAGAACCCCTGTGTACATATACATATAGTTAGTTATGTCGACCGATGGTCAGTCGGTCAGTGTGACTTGGTGTCAATCGCACACCTGGGGCTTATGACCAGATCTTTGTTACTGTCAGAGAGTTGCGTATTTATTGATGTGGGGCACTCACTCTGACGAGAGGAGGCGTCTGCAGTTTACAATTACTGTCGGTCTCGCCAGCGCAGTCATTCTCGTGCCCGAGCTCCGCGGGCCTAGTGACGATATTTTACTGTCTCGGTTTCGAGACTCCCCCAACCTGGAGGGCTAGGTCCCTGTGTCTATATCCTACAGGAATAGGGTGGCCCAGTTATACCCCTAGGCGCTGGGTTCCATTTTTATCGCCTTCTACGACTCGCAGGGCTACGATGGAGGTATTGGTACGAGCTCCTCATATTATTATTTGTTTTCTTAAGCCGATTGATATTAATCTCAATGAACAAAACATTAGTATTAACTCAGTTCTGTCCCCCAGAAATACGTATGTTCGAATGAAGAGCAACATTTATAAGTAACACGAGTATATTGTTCCTCAGTGATCGTCCTCTTCGGTAACTCCACTCCCTTTTTTACTGCTGTGTTAAAAGTTTGTGTTCCGTATGGTGAAACTGATATTCTTAAATGATTGCCATATTTAGTTCATATATACGATTGAAGAAGCACATACGTAACTCGGTGTGATTCAGTCAATTGCGAATACACCGTTCGCAACTACAACTACCAACATTCATCGTATTCCGCTTTCTGCTTTATTTAATTTGATATTATAAGCACAAAACTCAAATGTAAGTGTCTTTAGGAGAAAACATGATATAAACATGCACTCATCGACGGATTTTATATAGTGTAGTTAAGGTGCGGCCATACAGAGCGCTACGTACACTATGTTCGCTATAAGAACAGAAAAATATCTCCCTTTATTGCCAATGTGACTGGCCACACAGACTTTACGTACGCTATGTTCGCTATGTTAGCTGCGTCGCAGAGTGTTTGATTCTCGGCTATATTTTTAAAACGTCGCGCTGGACGGGCATGCGCACTGGGCTCGCTTCCAAGTGTCAGCTGCGCGCCTCAGTAATTTCCAACTCTGATTACAACACGTGTTACGTATCATTCAGCGCTGTATTCGCTTAGATGAAAATGACACTGGAGGAATTAATTGAAGAACTAAGGAAGTATCCATGTTTGTGGAACAAAGGGTTAGAAGAATATCGGAACCAGAACATGCGGGATAATGCCTGGGACATGATTTCTGGGGAATTGAATACAGCAGGTAATGTACAAACATTGTTCGTTTATCTATAAGTGAAGAACTTAAAATATTGTCATCAACCCTATTCATTTGGAAATATTCTTTAAATTTAACTTCATCTTCACGTAACTGCTTTATCAGATGATGAAATTCATCAAACTTCATTCTTCTTAAGTTCACGCCATGCACCCACTTCCTTTTACGTTTACACAAGGAAAGTAACAGCCAAAGCTCATCGTCAGAATCATCGCTTCCCCCCCCCCCCCCACAACCACACACCCCCCGCACCACCCACACACAACACACAACCGCGTGAC